CTGAATTCAAACCTCACTGTGCCTCAGTTTCCTCATCTGTAATATGGGGGCAATTAACAGTACCTAACTCACAGAGTTGTTATGAAATCTATGTGAGGTACTTTTCAGAATAGGAGCTGGCACATAGGAAACCCTCAATAAATGTTACTGCCGTTATTACCATCACTGCTCTGCACCTTGGAAGACAGATCATTTGCTTCTCGGTAAACCTGCCATGGAAATGATTAGGCTCTAGGTTAGGTCGTGTTGGGTGGAGGGGTCCCCAAACCAAGGTCTGTGGAGCCCCAAAGCTGGAGTTCTTCCCATTGTGCCAGCTGCCTGTCTGTTAGGAAACCAGTGCTGCTTTAAGATAAAATTGAGTGTGGTGGGGCCTGCTCCAGTGCACCTGGATTTCCTGTAAGTGACTCAGCCCCTGCAGGGGGGCTGGAGGACAGTGAATTCTGTGATCCAGCCCACACACCCCTGGCCCTCTCATCATCTTTCCTCCTATTGTTCCCTATTTCCAGCAGCCTAGGTGTGTCCCAGATTTGCAGAATGACAAGCCTTTTTCACAAGTATCCTTATTCACTGTGAATGATGACACTTGGGATGCCTAGAATGTTTCCCAAGGGAACTTACCTCCAAGAAGGGCCTTAATAGCCCCATGTGTCAAAAGACCCAAACCCAAGAAGTGTTCTGATGAGGGACCAGTCCTCATGTTTTAATCTCAGAATCAACTGTAAACCTTCTTTTACTTTTTTTTAATTATTAATTTTTTAATTGTGGTAAAATACAAAGTAAAATTTTGCCATTTTCAAAGTGTATGATTCAGTCTGCCTTCACTCTTGACTTGAGAAACTTAAAATGCTCAAGGGAAGCTGCTTGTGGAAGGAACGTTCACCCCAGATGAAGTGAGGAATCTTCCCCCTTACACTCTAACATATTTGGCTGCAAATGTAATTCTTTTTTTAAAAAAATATTAAAAAGTGTTTTAGCTCTTAGTTTCTAAACATAGTGTCCTGTGACTCCAACCAGTTGGAGAAAGTTGAAATCTGAAGCGCCTAACCCATATTCTAGGTATAACTGACAATTTACTCATTATTTATGGTAACAATTACTACTCAGAATAGTTGAATGATGACATTTTCTGGTGAAATACAAACTGTATTTAGACTCTAAGAGCATTGCCTAACCAAGGAAAGCCAGAGTTTAAGGACAAATGGTCTTGAGTCCACTTACCAAATCAGCAGAGTGATCAGAACAAAGGAAGGAAGGGAGGAGGCTCCAGGTGGCTCTCTTCAAAAGGTGAAGAATTCAGGGCTCCAAGGCTCCTCCCGCCACCCGCCAGCCCCCACCCCCAGCCCTAGAAGAGCTCTCAGTGGCGGCAGGTGGACCTGGACACTCTGTCCTCCAGAGCCGGCAGATCTGTATCAGGAATCTCAACTCACACTTGGCTCTGCAAGTGCCTCAGACCCACTTAAGGGAATTCTTACACTGCTTTTATTCAGGGGCACACTTTCACCGGAAGCATTGGAAAGTATTGATACAAAGCAGGGGGATGCCCTGTGCATACCCTCAACAGTACTATAAGGGACCTGGAACTTCTATTCAAAAAGTAGCCTTCAGAGGGGGAGGTTATAGCTCAGTAATAGAGTATTTGCCTAGCATGCACAAGGTCCTGGGTTCAGTCCCCAGTACCTCCATTAAAAAAAAGAAGTTAATAAATAATTAAACCTAATTACCCCCCCCCAAAAAAAAGTAGCCCTCATTCTTCATTTATCCTAACAGAACTATCATGAAAGAGTCTGAGGAGGAGGGGAGGTTAGCGGTTGGTCTTTAATGCTATGAGGTTACCTTGTAAGCCCATGTAGAAGTCCAGAGTGGAAGGACAGAACTGTGATCGCAACACAGAAACGGAAGCTCCATGCGGGGCGGGACCCGGTCTGCTAACTCCTGGCTGTGTGTCCAGTGCAGTTCTTGGCACACACTGGACACTCAGGACATGTTCTTCAGTGAAATAGTACACGTACCCTCCAAGTTTTCAAACCACCTAAACGGCGGGGGCAGGGAACCTTCAAGGTATTTTTCTGTGGATTCTTTCCAGGAAAGCTGCCTGAATGGCACTGTAGGTTGGTATAAAGCATCTGCCCAGTCCACCACCGAGTAGCCGTAACTGAACAACTTACTTCCTCTGGGACCTTAGTTTCTGTGGTATAAGGAAGTTGGAATGGATGGTTTCTAAGGTTCTTTTCTGTGCCATGAGAGGCCTTAAGTGTCCCTCTGGGTACTGCTGGGCATCACCACATTTAGGTGATGTGGGAGAAATAAGGACGAGACAGTGGTGGTGGTAGTGATGTAGTTACTAATAGTTCTACTTATTAAGTGACCAGAGTCAGGAAATCTGCCACTCATTCTATAAAGAAGCCACTGAGAGAAATGTTGAGGCATCTCCCAGTCTATACCACTTTTTCTTGAAACTTCTCATCTTTCTAAAATTTTTATCCCTGCCATTTTCTACAACTTTCCTGCCTTTAATAAAGAGTGCTTGCTTTGTGGTGAGTTCCTTACGCAGTCGAGCTCAGCAGTCCTCACAACCACCTGTTTTAAGACGAGATGTTGAGACTCAGGTGTTCAGGGACCTGCCCAGGTACTCAGTGATCTGTGCAGAGCAACAGCCCTCCCACTTGCCACTTTTCCAGATCATTCCTTTTTTTTTTTTTAATCTTTTTTTTCTAGGCTTGCCACTGGCACCAGAATGAAACTGTTTGCCAATTCCTCATCTAGGTTGGTAGAATTTGTCCTGACATTGGCATGGAGACCTTCAGACTGCGTCCACCAAAGCCCATTGGAGCCTTTTGTGGTGTTTGGCTTGGAGATTACTCTGTACAGGAAGAGGTTTCCTCACTTGGGGTGTTTGCAGAGGGGCTAGATGACCGCGTCTCAGGGTCTTTACAGAGAATGTTTATGCATTACCTGGAGATGGACATGCTGCCCACCAGGATTTCTCCTGGATGTGTGATTTTCTGATGTGCACAAGCAGTTGGCACCTTCTGAAATGCAGGGTGGGAACTTAACACTTGTCACCTCTCCTCTTCCCCTTACCTTGCTCAGAACACCTGGCCAGGTGAGGCTGAAGAAGACTTAGGTGTATGGTAAGAATTTCCAAATGTCAGAATTGGAAAAAAGTCTTGAGACCATTGAGTGCAGACCGTCATTTGGCCCCTGAGGCCCAGAGAGCAAATTTAACAGGGCCTCCCAGTTTGTTGCCCGCGGAGCCCGCAGTCTCCAGGGATGCCATCCTAAGTGTGTCTGCCAGACAGAGGGACTGTCTCACATGGCTGTTTACTCACTCCATCAGTATGGTCAGAAGTTTAACCAGTAAACCAGAACAGCATGCAGCCGCAGAGCAGGTGTCAGGTACGCACCGAGTGCCGCTCATGACTCCAGGGTCGCAGAGGAGCCATAACTGTGAAATCACAAGTTACTGTCCTGGCTTTGACGTTAGTAACAGTGCAAGCTGCCCGTTGGCTCAGCTCCATGCTGGGGCTGCTGCGCTCTCCCCAGTCCCAGGGGTTCCGAGTGTTCTTCCCAGCTCGCGCGCTTCCCTCTGAGGCCCTCCATTCACATCCCAGAAGTTCCACGCATGGCATCAGCAGTCAGAGATTGCAGTCAGCATGAAAAACCCAGAGTTACCACTGACAGTGTTCCAGCTCAGGCCGTGCTGCCGTGTGGAAAGGCCTGCCCTAATGCCTTGTCTAGGGAAGCGTCTTCCCAGCAGGCTCTGGAAGTCTTGCAGCTTGCCTCATGTTTCCCTGTCCCATGTTGGGCACCACTGCCCTTGTCCTTACTTCTTCCCAGCTTGACTGCCCCTTACTCCTGGAGAAGCTACTGGAAGACCCCAGGAAACAGCATTCCTGCCTGTTCCTCAGTTTGGTCAGTGCATTTGCTGCACTCAGGTTTTGGCTGTGGCGTCCACTTTGCTCCTTCCTGAGCACAAGCTCACAGGGTAGACTTAGATCCTGTACCCTCACGGCCATGCTGATGCAGCAGCAGCCCTGTGGCTGGGCAGCAAAGACATGCACCATGTCGGTCGGTGGGTTTTTTCAATCCAGTGAGGGTCCTTTCAGTCCCCAGCCTTTTTGCAGGGCCACAGGAATGGGTGGAACCCCAGCACATAGACAAAGCAGGTATGGTTGGGGGTGTCTTTCCCCAGCCAGCAGCCCAGTTCTCACCACTGTGTCTGGGGCAGGTGGAGACGTGGGAACTGTATGTGGCACAGACCCGAGCTTCCCTGGTGAAGCCCTTACATCTGCTTGTGCCCGGAGCGCCTCTTTGGCTCCTGTCCCCAAGTTTGAATTGCCAAATAGTGAAGCAGGCCTACCAAGCACTGAGTTTGGGAAGGGAAGACCGCAGGGTCTGTAAGGGAGTTGTTCTTAAACTCCTGGCCCAGACCACTGCTGTGCTGGCAGGCTGCTGCTCCTCCCACAGCCCACCACTGTCTGGGTGCTAAAGGTCAGCTTTAGGGCTCAGCAGGTCTGCATGGACATTTATCCAGCTCTGTTCTGGGAGTTAGCAAGACTTCTGGGCTCTACACAAAAAGGCTTCTGTAGACTCGAGATCTGAAGCTCCTGCCTGCCCCAGACTCCCCCCATCCCAAACCCTTGGGTTATCAGTCTACCCTCTCCAAGCTGCAGGAAGTTCTTACCCCACAGCTGAGTGAACAGAGCAGGCTCTCAGCCCAGCCCTTAGACAGCCACCTGCCATGCACAGACCCAGCTCCTCGGTCCCAGCCTTTCTGGTGGGCTTCCTCATGGGAACCCCATTTAAATACAAAGGAAGAAGTTTGTCTGGGAACTGGGAATGCGTGATGTGCAGACTCAGGGCTTTGCTGATCAGCAGCAGGCTTCTGGCTTAGCCCCATTGCTGACCAGCAGTAAGCCGGCCTTCCACGAGTCCCAGCAGGGCCTCAGCACTGCGTGGAGCTGGCTGAGAGCAGGCTTGTCTTGTTGCTTTTCTTCTAGGAAGATGATGAGAAGCTGATTGAGGAAATCCAGAAGGAGGCTGAAGAGGAACAGAAAAGGAAGAATGGAGGCAAGTGCCCCCCTAGCACAGGCCTTGTGCCCACGCGCCACATGTCCCCAAGGGAGGAGGGGCCCCCACTGCTGGCCTCCCTGGGGGTCCTGGCACTCCACCCAGCCAGGGATGACCCAGCTGTCCGTCTGGTGGCTGCAGGAGCGCCCATCCACACATCCAGCTCCCTGTGGGAAAGGCCATGAAAGCTTAGAGATGGTTTCGACTTCTCCTTGATGGCAAGGAGGTCCCAAGGAGTGAGTTTGAGCTTAGGAAGCAAATAAAAGCCAAAGCAGACTTAAAAAGACAGTGGGCTCCTCTGGTTACAGAGGAACAAAATGGGGTTTCTGTAAGTGGCCATCCAGGCCCTGGCTCTAAAGGAAATTCTCTCAGAGAAGCTCCACCTCTTCCGAGCTAGATCAGTCTACCACCTTGCAAGGTGATCCCTGTGGAGTGATACTCAGTGGGAAGTATGGTTTTATCTTTGGTGATGGCTGGTTGAGAGGATGTGTGCACACTGCTTTTTGGCCTTTAATTAGGACAGGCCACCCCTCCTGTGTCCATAGGGAAGATTGATGCTGAAGATTAGAGATTCTTGGCCTGACCTCATGCTCCGGGCTCCCAGCCCCCAGCTCAAAGCCCCTGGGACCAGGATCAGGATATGCACCTCTGGTCCTGAGCCATATCCAAGCACAGTGGGGTTTAACTGTTTTCTCTGCTAAATCCCATTTCCTTTTCAGAGAACACCTTCAAACGCATTGGGCCCCCCTTGGAGAAGCCTCCAGAGAAAGTCCAGAGGATCGAAGCCCTGCCAAGGCCCGTCCCACAGAACCTGCACCAGCCACAGATCCCCCCCTACGCCTTTGTGCACCCACCCTTCCCCCTGCCTCCTGTCCGGCCCGTGTTCAACAACTTCCCACTCAACATGGGCCCCATCCCCGCACCCTATGTGCCCCCTCTTCCCAACGTACGGGTCAACTACGACTTTGCCCCTGTCCACGTGCCCCTGGAGCACAACCTGCCTATGCACTTTGGCCCCCAGCCACGGCATCGCTTCTGACGCCTGGGCCCCGCCCCTTCCAGGAGCCCCACTGTGCAGCATGTGCAGGGCCAAGGCTGGATAGATAATCCTTTGCCCCCAGGGCTAATGGCTGTGCCCATGTTTCTAAGTAGGGATTACGGACTTGGCTCTTGAAAGGATAGCCTGGATTTCTTCCTGGGAAGGGCTACTGCTCCCTGAAGAGCGACCAGCAGGCTGGTACCCCCTGGGTGCCAATAATGAGGTTTTTCTGGCTTCTGCTGGACCAGAGATATGGGGGCAGCCAAACCCTCTTTCTGAATAATTCTGTCTTAATAGCCAGTGAGGTGGCTACAAGGTAGCCCGTCTCTGCCACTCACATCCCTGCAGAAAGAGGAAGGGAAACGTTTGCGTCCATCCCCTCCCCCGGCAGACACAGGAGTCTCAGTTTAAAACCACGTGAGCCTTCCTCACCGCAGCAGTCTGACCCATAGTAAAGCTGAAGGAACAAGTAGTGCAGTTTGGAGAGAGCTGGGAGGCCGGAACCATACTCTGAAGGCCTGCTTTTTCTGCCCACCTCCCACCTCTGAGGCCCACCTAGAGTGAGGTGTGCCCTGCTCCCCTGAGCCAGTTGGTCCAAGTGAAGAGGTGGCAGAGCGATGTCCATGGGCCTGGGAGCACCACTCAGGGTGGGGAGGCTGCAGACCATGTCCCCGTGTCCAGGACCCAGGCCACCACTGCAGTGATTGTCAGGGGTCTCTGACCCTCTCTCTTCACCATCTCAGACGAGACTGCAGAGAGCCATCTCATACAGTGGGATGTTTGTATACAGTTTATCTAAAGAAATGTTTGCTGTTTACTCACTTTGAACTTACCCAGTTTTCTGTGGCCTGCTAGAGTTTCTCTCCCTCAGTCTCTGGAAAATCGAAGAAGTCTGTTACCCCTTTCCTGGCAGCTGATGAGGGTAGGATGGTCCTGAAACTTTTGCCAAACATAAGATCCTTTTGAGGTAGCTGTGACAGAGGCCTGGTGGCTCTCCCAGGGAGCCACATTTGCCACCACCCAGATAAGGAACAGGTTCTCCCCTAAGGTATGGTGGGGACACCAGCTTTCCCCAGGGGATGAATGACCCCGATGGCACTCAGCAGCTGCCCTTCCCTGAGGTTCAGATGAGTCTAGCTGTGGGTTTGCTTGGGAGTCCGTGCCCCATTCCCACTTGCTTTTTGCTGTCTGTCCCCAGGTGGGTGTTTGAGTGTCACCCCATCGCCCACTTTGCAGTGCTTTACTGCAGCCCATGTGCAGAGCAGAGGCCTCAGTAGGGGTGAGCCTGCCCCAGCTCCCTCGGTTGGCCTCTGTTCCTGTTGGTAAAGCTTGATGGCTGTGGGGTTTCCAGAAGTTCATGCACACAGACCTCAGAGAGGAGGGGGCCGCTGCCCAGCACCAGGCATCACCGTGTCTGGTCCCAGCTGCTGTCAGCTTCTCAGATGTTTCTCAGAGATTAAAGTGGAGGAGCAAAATGCTAAGTTGCCCATTCTTGCTGTCTTTCCTCTGGGCTTGGGCTCTGCAGATAGGTGGCCCCGGACTTGGGCTGGGGGTGCATGGGGAGAGACTGCAGTCTCCATTGCCAGGAGCCTCTGCCCATCGGTCTCCCTGACCCTGGCTGGTGGCCTGAGTGGAGGTGCCTCAGGAGAGGCCTGCCCAGTACCCTGAGGGCCTAGCAGCAGGGTTTCCTCAAGTATCTTAAAGGCATGTTCCCCCTGCTCCCCGAAGGGAAGATGTCTGAGAGCTGTGAACCACCAGCAGATATCCCACCACATGGGGAGAGGAACACTAGGTGCTGTCCGCTTGCGCGCTGGTGACAGCGCTCACCCAGCCCCCCAGAGCCTTCAGGGCCCGTCCAGCGAAGGACCAGGAACTGCTGCAGGTGGCTGTCCCATGCCCCTGACACTGCGGTCCAGTGACTGCCCGAGAGCCTGGCGTATGCGGGGTCCCCCGGCACAGGAGCGGGACCGGAGTAGTGACTCTCCTAAGGCCAAAATGAAGATTTGTCCTTGAGGTGAGTTCTGGCTGTTTTTAGCCACCTAATGCAGCTTGGGGACCACTCCTGCCTCTGAGCCAAGGGCACTTCATTTCTCATGTTCCTGCCTGAGCTGGGCTGTGCAGTGGCCTGAAGGTCTGCGTAGCGCAGTCACTGTTTTGCCCCAAGTTCTGACCCTAGCATGAGCCCCCGCATGTCTGCAAAGTGACCCTGTAGGTGCCTCAATGTCCCAGGGGCAGGGCCTGGATCCCAGACTCCTGGGGAAGCAAACCGTGCTAGTGGTGGGGTTGAGGGGGAGAGGGCTGTCATCCGCTGACAAGCCAACAACCTGCAGAGATAAGCCCCTGTCGGGGAGAGAGCAATCCCAGAGGCATCCTGGCACCTTCTGCTCTATGGTCTTGCTCCCCGGAGTGAGAGACTGCCCAGCAACAGTCCCGTTCTACTTGCCTTAAAACTGGAGAGGAATCTGGTATTTGCACTTAGCAAAACATTTTAAAACTTAAAAAAAAAATGTGCATGACCTGTCACTTTATAAAAAAAAAATAGCAAAATGATTAGTTTATATTTTTTTCTTTACCTTCTGGTAGTAAAAATACACAAAATAATTCCGTTTAAACTACTGTGTGTAAAAAGCCTGTATCATATGTAACTTGGGTTTTTTTGTAAATAAATGTTTGTGCAGTCTGCTCTCTGGTTTCGTTTCTCCACACGACACAACCAGGCAGACCCCGCGACCCCCACAAAGTTACCGGGGCTGCGCAGACTGACCATCTCACCTAACTCTGCTCACCCAGAGCTGAGGTCGGGCCACTGCCGCTGCCGGAGAGCCGCAGGACCCCATCGCAGAGTGGCCCTGAGGGGCTGGGCTGCGGGAGGAAATCAGGTGATCCATCCTACTAACCCTGCTGGGTGACTGCCCAGGCCGGGCTGGGCACAAAGGGGTTATTTTGTTGCTGTTGTTTTTCAGCCCAGAATCCCCTTCAGGAAAGTATGATCAGCCCCTCTTCCAGGCCCCTGCAGCAGGCCGCTGACTCGGCCCTGGAGTTGGGTGCGAAAGGGAGAAACCTCACTCAGATCAGGAGACCAGCCCTGAGGACAAGGAGCCCCTTCCCGTGCAGAGAAGCCACAGGTACAGCCTTTCCCCACCGCGCCTCCTGCCGCCTGCCGGGCCTGGAGGGCATCCTGGGCACGGGTGGCCGCAGTATGCTTGTGCCCAAACCGGGTTCAAAATGTTGATAAAACTCAGGGCTGTCCTCTTCTCTGCTTGCAGCTTTGTACTGAACAACATCTTTTTTGTTTGGGGGTTTTTTGGGGCACGTCTGAAAAAGGTATACTGAAGTAAATCCATGACCAAAGTGTCCTGCATTCCCAGCTTCTAGGTCGGTGTGTTTTTACATTTCCCCGTGTCATTTAGTTCTTGTTCCTGTACCTTTTCCATATTTTATACGTTTGCAGCAATGTCCTAGACTGTTCTGCTGTTTCAGTCAGTAGGTAAGTAATGCCCCCCTCAATCTGCTACAGTCTTTTTTTACATCCTCCATCCAAGTAACCTGAGTCACATTTCTCCACTCGCCCTCCAGCCCATTTCAACATGCACCTGGTTATCAGGGCTCTGGGCCTTTATTGTTACAGAAGTGGTGTCATACCTTTTGCTGCAACTCACTTTTCTCCCTTTGCAATCATGGAGTGCCCTCCAGGCCTGTAAGTCTACACAGCTCCAATTTGTGCTTTTATGCCTTTCATGATACTTCTTTGTATATGTTTTCCGTAAGTGATTCAACCACTCCCCCGTTAAGGAAAACGTGGACGCTTCTGATGTTTTGCCACCACACACAACACCCCAGTGAACACTCCCTTCGATGTGCAGTAGACATATCTCCAGTAGTGGAGTGTGGATCAAAGGATGGCGTGTGTCTGTTTCTTTTCTTTTTTTTATTGAAGTATAGTTGATTTACAATATTAGATTAGTATCAGGTGTACTTCGTAGTGATTCATTGATACATATACGTGTATATATCCATATTCTTTTTTATAATTCTTTTCCATTATATTTTATTACAAGATAGTGAATATAGTTCCCTGTGCTATGCAGTAAATCCTTGTTTATTTTGTATATGGTAGTGTGCATCTGTTAATCCCATACTCCCAGTTTGTCACTCCCCCTTCCCCTTTGGTATCCATAAGTTTGTTTTCTATATCTGTGAGTCTTTTCTGTTTTGTAAATAAGTTCATTTGTACTATATTTTAGATTCCACACGTAAGTAATATATAATGTTTGTCTTTCTCTGACTTACTTAGTATAATAATCTCTAGGTCCATCCAAATTGCTGCAAATGGCATTATTTCATTCTTTTTTGTAGCTTAGTAATATTCTTGTGTGTGCGTGTGTGTGTGTGTGTGTATGTGTGATCTTCTGTATCCATTCATCTGTTGATGGACACTTAGGTTACTTCCATGTCTTCGCTGTTGTAGATGGTACTACTGTGAACTAGGGTACCTGTATCTTTTTGGATTAGAGTTTCATCTTTTCCAGATATATGCCCCGGAGTGGGATTGCTGGATCAAATGGTAACTCTTTTTTAGTTTTTTAAGGAACCTCCGTACTGTTCTCCATAGTGGCTGCACCAGTTTACATTCCCACCAACAGTGTAGGAGGGATTCCCTTTTCTTTGGGGGCAGGGTGATGTTAATGGCTTTTGCCAGATTCCTTTCCTGCAAAATTGTGTCAACCCACTAGTCACAGGTGAGAGCCCTGGGCTGTGCTCTCACCCCTCGTGACACCTGTTTGTGACCATGGTCCCTTGGCTGTCCTGAGACACATCCTCTGGAGTCTGACCTCATGGAGGCATCACTTCTATCTTCACCTCCTTCTTTAGATAAAACTGCTTTTAGGTCAGGAGTATTTATGATTGTAATGTCCAGACTTTTTTTTTCATCCTTAAAAAAAAGTGTCTTTTTTTATAAATATATTTGCCAATTATAAATGTTTTAAAATGGAAAAAAAATTGAAAACACAGAAAAATACAAAGAAAAAGAAATGCTTTGTTACCCAAAGGTAACTACTGATAATATTTTGATTCGTTTCTTTCCAATGTGTTTTTTCCTATGATATAGATGTGTTTCACAAAACCAGTAAACCAGATGTTCAGTTTTTTTACTGTTTCTTAAATTTTTTTTACTTTTTTTGTTGTTTTTGGTGAGGAGGTAATTAGGTGTTTGTTTGTATTTTTATTGGAAGTACTAAGGATTGAACCCAGGACCCTGTGCATCCTAAGCACATGCTCTCCACGGAGCTGTACCCTCTCCCCCAGATATGCAGGTTTCCATTCTGTCTTGAGCAGTAGCAGGGTACGAGCAGATGCTTCCAAAACGTGGTTTTTCATTAGCTCCTTCTTTTATAACCTCTTGCTGCAGGCTCTGTTAGCATTCTCTTTGGACTTATTAAAATCCCTTCCTGAAGGTTGGTGCCCAGCCAACCCTGCCCAGCCTGCTGGCCCTTTGTTCCCATGACCCCCTGAACGTCTAAATCCCCATCTGTGTCTTCCCTATTGGTCGGGATTAATCTGGAGAATCAGTTCCTCTCCCTTCATCAGCACATTTTTGGCAAAGACGGCCCAGAACTGATCACTGGCTTGGCTTGACTTTACCTTAGAAGGTGCCAGTTAAAACCCTCGCAGCACTGAGTCCGTGCCCCATTACCTGCACGTGGTACGCGTCCGTCCACACACCTGTGCACGTGCCACCAAGCAGTGCAGGCTTGGGCTGGGCCTCAGGAGGCACCACCTTCCAATTGGGTGGACTTGGGCTGTCAGGCTTCCCAGCAAGGGTGACAAGAACCATGCAACTAAAACACCAGACAGGTGGGAACAGGGGTCGCAGCAGGGACAGCTGAGGGGCTGGGGAAGGAGCATGGAGGAGGTGCCTGCGGCCAAGAGCTGGGGGGAGGCCCTGACCTGGCTGCTCCTCCCCCCTGCCTGGGGCTTGTCCAGATGTTCCAGAGCCCGTGATTCTGGTGGTTCCTGGGAATCTGTATTTTCAGTGTTGAGCCTGCAGAGCTTCTGGAGTAGTTCAGGTGGCAGCACATCTGGGAGGGTGGAGGAGAGTCTGGAGGGACCTGGGGACTGGCGGGCAGACAGGAGGGCCCACGGCCATGCTCAGCCCTGCCATGCAGCTGACAAGGCGCAGGCCAGGACACGTGGAGGGTGGGGAAGCCGTGGCTACTGTCCAGCACCCAAGGGCTGTCGGTGAGCGGCTCCGGCAGACACATCCTGAGAGCCTGGGACTTTAGGGCAAGGGGAGGGCCGTGTACTGCATTCACCCAGGCGCTGAACCGAAGTGCCCTCCGAAAGCCATCTCGGACCCTCCTGACCACGGAGCCCTCTCTCCTGCCCTCTGCTTCCTTGATGTCCCATGTCCGGGAGCAGACCCGACACCTGCTGGTCAGGTGCTGACCCTCCTCCCCCTCAAAGCCCCCCCTGCTCAGGGCCCAACCACGCTTGCTTCTCCTGCCTGGGCCAACTGCACCCCAGCCGCTGCTCAGCCGTCTCACCCGTGGCTGCAGGAAGCCACCCGGAGGGAGCGCAGTGGCTGGAAACCAGCTCGGGAGCTTTTCTCACCATGGACTGAGTGTTCGGCTCTGAGCTCCGCTGTGGCTCAGCTGAGACTGCCCGCCCACCCCGATGGCCTCCCTGGGCCCCTCGCCCCTTGCGGCAGAGGTTCCCCCAGCACTGTGGGTGCAGGCTTCCAAGCACTGGCCTGTCAAGGGCTCGCCGGGTGCGCCCACATGAACCACCTCACCCAGCATGCCCCAAACCAAGCCCTGTGTGTGCGGCTCCCCTCTCATGGCTGTAATAGGTGCCGGCACCCATGCCCAGGATGTGGCCATGGGAAGATGGTGGCCACAGCCTTCTTAAGTGGCCCTGTCCCTCCTTTCTCTGTTGACCCCAAGTCTGGTCCTCTCTCCCTGTCCCTCTCTCCCTTTATTCTGTCGAGTTTAAGGCCACTTACCAAAAATAATACAATATAAAAACAAGCAGAAAAACCAAATTGAAGCAAAAGCAAAGCTAGGATAAGAAAATGGACAAGGCCCAAAGTTAGAGCTTGACATGCACCTCCACCAGGTGGCCTTGCCCAATCTTCAAAGGCAGCTTCACCTCACTTGCTGAAATGCGTGTTACAAGGGTCAGCGTGTCTTCAAGATGGAGGTGGAGACATGCCTGAGACTCAAGGGAGGGGCACTCTGCCAGCAGATGTGCATCTCTGTGGCCTGCTGGAGACCCAGCCACTGCCCCCTGAGAGCCAGGCCTGCTCAGCCTCAGACCTTGGGGATGCTGACGCCTCCCCCACAGACATCTCCTTTCTCTCCCTTCTGATGGGGAGTAAGGCCAAAAAGGAAGCCTAGGGCGACCTGGAAGCTGGGCGTTCCTACCCAGCTCTGCTGTTTCCTGCCTCTGAGCTGCAGCCCCATCCCCTGGCCTCTGTCCTCATGAGGCGCTGGCCATCTTGGATTAATTCCCTACTTTTGGAATATTTTCTATAGCACCTGCCTCCCTGAAATCCCAGGAGCATCGTTCAGCTCAGCTCAGCACCTCTAGCACGAGTTCAGGGTCTGTGGTGCTCAGGAAAGTATTGTTGGAAAAAGAAATCTGTGAAATGAGGATAAAAGACCCACCTCAAGAGGGGGCTG